TTTATCATAACTATATGTGGATTTTTGACTGGGTAGGGGTTGGTGCCCCTAAGCCCTGCAGTGTTCAAGTGTCAACTATATAGATAAAGGTATAGATACAGATATAGATATAGATATAGATATATGGAGACAGAGTTGCATAGTTATATAAGCAATTATATATAGATACAGATCTTCCTTGGCTAAAGATGAGGTTACCTCTCGATAAACACATTGTAAGTCAAAAATGCATTTAATACACCTAAACTACCAAACATCATAGTTTGGCCTAGCCTACCTTAAACCTACTCAGGAAAAACTTTCGTTAGCCTACAGTTGGGCAAAATCATCTAACACAAAGCCTTTGTTATAACAATGTGTTGAATATCTTATGTAATTTATTGAATACAATACTGATAGTGAAAAAAAATGGTTGTATGAGTACGGGATGGTTGTAAGTGTATCGCTTGTTCCTATTTCTATATATGGAGACAGAGAAATAGAAATATATCTCACTGTTCAGAACATCAATATCTTCTGTATAAACATCTATTAAATTGTAAAGAAGATAGATACTTGAGATTAAACAGTAATTTGATAAGAATTAATGTTTGGTTGCCACTCCTATAATCTTTTCTACCCAACAGTGATCTCACTTTCATTCCTCTAGCCTCCTTTCTTAGCAGTCCATGCTCTTGGCAGAAAGCATACACTTTAAAGTCATGGGACACAGTCAGTGATGTGTCACCATGAAGAGGTCCCACTAAAGTCATTCTTAACATTACATGATATCCTACTTTCTAGTCTCTTATTCCCTCCCTCTTTGTTTCTCTGAAACAAAGATTTAGAGTAATAAAATTAATCAGTTTTTGGTGACTAAATTTCAATTAGAATAATTTTATTATGACAGAGGATTTCAATGATTCTGGCAAAAAGGCTATTGATGAAGTTTCTGCTATGGGGATAAACAGGTAGGATATTTGGTTTTTGTTTTTTTCCAGCACTGTAAAACTTAATGGTAACAGACTGGTCCCTCCCAATATGGGTCAGCACACATCTGCAGTGAACACATTCATATGACTTCACAAGCCAAGATGCCTCTTTCCAATGACACCCAGCTCCACCCCTCCTCCTTCCTGCTGCTGGGAATCCCAGGACTGGAAAACATTCACATCTGGATTGGCTTTCCTTTTTGTGCTGTGTATCTGATTGCACTCACAGGAAACTTCACCATGTTGTTTGTCATCCAGACTGAGTACAGCCTCCACCAGCCCATGTTCTACTTCCTGGCGATGCTGGCTACCATTGACTTGGGACTGTCCACAGCCACCATCCCTAAGATGCTGGGCATCTTCTGGTTTAGCCTCAGGGAGATCATTTTTGATGCCTGCCTCACTCAAATGTTTTTCATTCACATCTTTACTGGCATGGAGTCAGTAGTCCTTCTGGCCATGGCTTATGACCGCTATGTAGCTATTTGTAACCCCCTTCGTTATAGCACAATCCTTACTAACAAGACAGTATCTCTTATTGTCTTTGGGGTGGTTGGGAGATCTTTCCTCTGTGTATTTCCCTTTGTATTCCTCATCTTGAGACTGCCCTTCTGTGGACACCACATCATTCCTCACACACACTGTGAGCACATGGGGCTTGCTCGTCTGGCCTGTGCAAGTATCAGGGTCAACATCATATATGGTCTGGGGACCATTGCTATCCTGGGACTTGACATCATGGCCATTGCTCTCTCCTATGTCCAAATTCTCTGTGCTGTTTTCCGTCTCCCCTCCCTTGAGGCCAGGCTCAAGTCTCTAAGCACCTGTGGTTCCCATGTTTGTGTAATTTTGGCCTTTTACATCCCAGCCCTCTTCTCTTTTATGACACACTGTTTTGGCCAGAATGTTCCCTGCTACATTCATATCCTCCTGGCCAATCTCTATGTGGTTATTCCACCAATGCTCAACCCTGTCATCTATGGAGTCAGGACCAAGCAGATCTGTGAAAGGGTGCTTAGAATATTCATCCCAAAATAAACAGAAGATAAACACCTCCCATTTTGGTCCTAAAGATTATATGTTAACATGTATACATCTGATAAATGAGGAGATGCCCTGAAATTAGGCCTTGTAAACGAGGTACAGCCACGATCACTTAATGGGAAGGATGTCTTTTTGTGTGTATTAACTCATTCAGGGAATGAGAATAGGAAGCTTTGGATTCTAGATATCAAGCTGGATTAGCAAACATTCTATATGATAATTTGAAGATCAGCATAAGATGTGTTCATGATTCCCAGATACCTAAGGGGTCAAGTTACAGAAGACATGTTTTCATTTCCACTGTGGGTACCAGGTGTTCTCTTGTCCTTCTCCTTCTCTTTCTCTTTCTCCCTCCAGCTCTCTCTCTCCTTCTCCTCTTTCTTCTTTTCCTCCCCTTCCATTTTCTCTCTTCCTTCTTCTGTTGCTCATTTTCTTTATTTCTTTTTCTCTTTCTGTCCTCCAAATTTCTCTCCATCAGCCTGCTTCAATATTTCTTATGTAGCTTTCTCTTCCTGCTCTGCCCCTCTTTTCATAACCTAGTTGAGTATTCCATTTCACTTACTTTTAGAGTACAAACAGCTTTTTTCTTATTGGTTTTATTGAACGGTTGATTGATTGGTTTAGTAGAGTAGTTAGAAACAGGAAGTAAAGTGAAAGAAAGAGGCCAGGGACTAAGTGGAAGAAAAATGTATTCTTACAAAATACTAGAAATTCAGTATGTTTAAAACTAAATACATACCCTTCTCATTAAAAATATTCCCTATATGTTTTATAGAAGCACTATTCATTTAGAAAACAGTGATGGATGTACTTTGGTCATATCAAATCTCTCTCTCTCTCTCTCTTTTAAGAACAATTTCTTAATTTCTTGATGTTATTTGTGTACTTTGGCTATAAATGTAATTTGCCTTATAAAAACTGGTGTGTTGAGAGAACACAGAATCTCTGCAATGAAGCATGTTGAGAGATAAACATATAAGTCTACGAAATACAACCAAATCTCTGAATAAGAAGGGGTAATTTCTATTCAGGGAGTGAATAAATGCTCAGATATCATATATAAGTGAATGAATAGCATGGAATCCTAAAACTACTTTTCTGTTAGTACACAAAGGCATCTCATGAAGAGAAAACAACATGAGGATAATCACAGAGATTTGACAAAACCTTATTTTTGCAGATTCACGTGTAAGGTAGAGCAGTATGGTTAATACTGAGATTGAAGTGGGGATGAAGTTTGTAGGGTAGGTTTACGACAGCTCATGTACCACCTATATTCTATGACAAAACATTGGGTATTTAACTTATAATAACTAACTCTGCAATGCTGGGAGGGGGGTCTCCTGCATAAGTGGGAGGGAAATTATATTTTTTGTAACGAAAAGCGTTAATATGAGCAAAGGGCTAACACTGTCTGACACATAGCATGGACTTAAACTGTAAGAAAGTTATTATTATGTTCATTGTCTCAGAGACCAATGCTATTTTTGGAACAGATTTAACATTGTTCCTTTAGTATTATTCTCAAATTTAATTGGAAAATATAGTCCTACTGTATTTTTAGTTAAAACTATAATTGAGTAAATGCTCTAATATGCTCAAAATTGGATGATACACTTTGAAGACTGTCAGTTAAGAGTAACAGAGAAGTGTCCACAAACTTGGGTATGAGTATCAAAACAGAGTGTGTTTGAAATCAGTATGATTTTAAATGTGTAATTAATAATAAAGAAAAAAACTATTCAAAAGCATATAATAGCTAATATTTCTAAAGCTCTCATTGTGTATCAGGCACAGGTTTCAAACACTTTTTGATTTCATTCTGGCAGTAATCCTATGGCTCTGGTTTTATTTTTATCCTGCAACAATTGAGAAAAATGAGACATTCAGATACAAATTATGTTTCCTTAGATCAGGCAGCTAGTACCACATGGAGCCTGGATTCCAAAACAGCCACTGTGATTTCACAGTTTGACTTTTACAACTACTGTACAATGTAACGATATGTATAATCTTTAATGAATTACTTTAAAGTATTTTACTGGCATTGAACTCTTTTCATGATTAGTATTAAGTGAAAAATTAGTTATAAAATTGTGTGGAGTATGCAAAATATCAAGAAAATATAATTTTCACAAAAAATTTCCTGGATGTTAAATTATTTATCCCTAAACTGTGACAGACTTATTTTTGGAAGATTTGTTAATTGTATAAAATGTTTACTGTTGAACATACATAATGTGTATCATAAAATATTATTAAGCCATGAAAATGTAAAGGAAGAAGTTTAAAAGAAAGTCAAATTGAATGTCTACTGTTTAATTATTTCTTCTACTTCACATTTTTCTGGTCACTTTTTAACCTTATTTACAAATGAAAGCCTATTGTTGCCAAGATTTCTAAAAACACGTAACACTCCTGTATTTCATATCTTAATTTCTGGTCATTATCCCACTTCTAAAGTCCTAAGAAAAATAAAACATGGACTTATCCTTGACCCCCGTCTTTCTCTGAAAATCCACATCAAAACTGTCACCTGCATTTGCTCTGCCTTCAAGTTTTATACAGAATCTGAGCATTTCTTGAGATAAATCCAAGTTCTGAAGATTTCTTGAGATAAATTTAAGCTCTTAATCTAATTATCAAAATTCAAATTATAAGATCTCTAGAAGAAAATGATAAAGTAATTTACTTGAGACCTTGGGGTAGAAAAAGATTTCTTCAACAAGATACATTAAAGGAGACTATCTTGGATTTTATCAAAATTAAAATATTGTATTCTATAAGGAAACCATTTGAAAATGAAACAACAAACCACAGATGGGAAGAAAATATTTACAATACATAGTTCTGACATAGGTCATGAACTCAGACTATGTAAAGATATTCTATAACTCAATTAATTAAGAGATAAAAAAAATTATATAAAAGAGTGGGCAAAGAGCTTGAACATGTACTCATAAAGAAAGATACATAGTGTCTAATAAACACAAGACAATATGCCTAAAAATTTTAGTTCATAAGGAGAATTCAAATTAATAAAATGCATTTTTATGCCCCACTAGATTGGCACATTTAATGATGATACGAAGTGATGACAATGTAAACTGACAATATAAATAAGGAACAACTAAAATAAAAGTTGATGGTAGGGGGGGAAATATTTTAATGTTAAATATACATTTTGCTACATCCATCCTATGACCTAAAAATTCTACTTTTAATTGTTTAGCCAAGAGACATGGAAGCATTTGTCCAAAAAAAATCCAGTATTGAAATGTTCATGGTAACTTTATTCACAATACTACCAAAGGGGCAACAATCCAAGTGTACTTCAAGTGGACAATGGATAAACATATTGGAGTGTATTCATACAATGAAATATTACTCAGTAATATAAAAGGAAAAAACACTGTACACTCTGCAATGTAATACATATTTTAAAAATTCCACTTTTCTGAGTGAAATAAGCTAAAGGGAAAAGGATACATACTGTATCTATATCAGTGTAGCTAAAGCTCAAAAACAGGCAAAACAATCCTATGGTGATAGAAATCAGAATTATGTTTGCTATCTTGAGAGACAAGGCAAGTAGTATGAACTGTATTTCGGAAATATTGGAAATATAAATAATCAGATTTACATGTTGGCAACCTGAGTACATTCATTAGTCAAAACTCCTCAAACTGCACACAAAAGATCTATGCATTTTACTACATGTAAATTATTCCTCGAAAAGTAAACAAAGTATACACAAAGTACTCCAGGAAAAAATCAGATGCTGAATAAGATGAAGACCCACTTTTGTGAGTTGATGAGGACTAAATTATTCTACCAGACTCAGAAGACTAAAACAAGCCTAACTATACAAAATTAAGTTTAGGATAGGATTTACTACAACAGAATGAAAGCTGAAAAACACTTCTGGGGATTCATTTTTTTTATGTCAGTACTTTCACGGAGGTGCATGACTATAGTTCACAGACCACACTCTCAACTTCTGAACTCAAATGATCCAAGCACCTGCTGATCACTGCCTCTTAGAGATCCTGAAATTCCAACTAGAAGACTAATTTTTGCACTGGAGATCACAGGAGTTTTAGTAGAGACCATCATAAAATTTCTAGACAGGAATTAATTTGTAGGTGAAATTTATAGGATAGAGGGTAAAGTGAGTAACAGAGAAAGAAATAGGAAAAAAGAGACTGATAAAAAAAGAATAGGAAAAGGAGATAGAGAAATACTCCACTTGAGGTGGATCTTCAGACTTACATAATACAGCACATAAAGAGGGTCAATCAAAATAGTTACAGTAAGAAAATAAATCAGTGCAGAGAAGTTGAAATAACTAAACAAAATGAAGACCTATTCAAATTTTTACATTTATCATCTTTAAAAAGAAAGGTTTAAATTTAATAAATACTTATAATTACTGAGTAAAAAGAAACAACCAACTAAAAAATGGAGAATCGTGTAATAAGTATTGCTAAATACACATAAAATAAACAAAGTAGATATCCTAAAAAGATAACTATATAGAATTTCCAAATAGTGCTGAGCAAAAAAATAAAATTGATACTTGTGTTTTTACATTGATGGAGCACAGAGTAAGAGTTTCTAAATTATTATTTATAGAATGTTTAAAAGAAGAACTGAAAAATAGGGTGAAGATGATATTTTAAAAGATACCGTATATGAGTACTTTCTCATTATAAACATTTATAAAACATTTATAAATGCATAAATATATAATATTCACATCAAAAGTTTATTCAAAAATAGTTACCAGACTATAATATAAAATTACATTCTACAACTGCATTAAAAGTTTAAATAATCAAAGATAAAGAGAAAATAAAAGGACATATAAGCAATAAAATTTAAAAGCCAAAAAAAAGGAAAGACAATTTGTCTAGATGCAAAGTTCTTGAATGCAACAAAAATACCAGTTGATAATAAAATACTATTCTTACTATTCTGAAGAAAAATAACTGTCAATTTCAGAATTGATTCCCACTAAATTATCAAGTATGACAGAGAGAAGAAAAATACATTTTCAGAAGTAAAAATACAAAAAAAAAACCCCAAAACAAAAAACAAAACAAAACAAAAAAACTATTGAACCTGAAGGGATTCATCTCATTTTAACTATTTACTTCATACAAAATATAATGTATGTACTTAGTACTTCTATGTTGTATGTCAGTGGGGAAAATGATGGACTAATAATTAAATAATTCTAGAACAATTAGCTTTTCATTCAGAAAACAAGAAAAGTGCACACATACCCATAGACACATAAACCAGAGAGAAAATAGATCCATATTTTGTTGAGCAATTTTACTCCTATATTAATACACTAACATAATCCTATTAATGCCTCTATATTGGTTGGGGTTCTCCTGAAAGTGTAGCCTTTGACAAGGACTTAAGAGCTTACAGTTTATTTGAAGGTTCATCTCAGGAAGCACAGTAATGGACTGGGGACACTAAGATAGGAAAGGAAAAAAAAACACTTCAATAAAATCAGTGTGTTGGTTACCATTGTGGGCAACAATACTGTACGAGGGTCTCTGAAGAACCAAATGGAACACACCTCAGAATTGTCCCTCTGAGGGATGAGAAGCCTACATTGCTTTAAAAAACTGAAAACAATGTAGACATAAAATATCAGGATAATGGCTACATAAACCTGCTTCTTACCTGCAATGAATAACCTTATGCAGGTTAAGTAGCTTCCTCAAAGACACATGGCTAGGGATTGGTAGAAATTGGTGTGGAAATCAGGCATTTGGATTCCTTTGTGCTCAATTTTAACCTTTTTACATATAATAGCTTTGACACAGGCATCATGGAAAACAGCATGGAATTTCTTCAAAAAAGTTAAAAATATAATTACCATGTGATCCAGGAAGCCCACTTCCAGGTATATACCCAAAAGAAATGAAATCAGTAGCTTGAAGAAATATGTACACTACCATACACTACCATGTTCAGGGCATCATTATCCACAACAGCCCAGATATGGAAACAACCTTAATGTTCATCAACAGATGAAACAATAAAGAATATGTAGTAAAGAATATATAAACCATAAACTATAAAATACTATTTCTTGATAAAAAGAAGGAAATCTTGCTTAGAGGACATTTTGCTAAATGAAATAAATCAGACACAGAAAGACAAATACTGTAAGATTTCACTTATATGTGCAATCTAAAAACAAGTCAAACTTACAGCATGGTGGTTATAGTTAATAATACTGTTTGTGTACTTGAAATTTGCTAAAGAGAGTAGATCTTAAGTGTTATCACAAAAACCAAAAGGTAACCATGTGAAGTGATGGATGTGCTAATAAACTTAATTGTGGTAATCATTTCATAATGTATACGTGTATTAAACACCAAATGTAGACTTCAAAAACCACATTGTACAAGCTAAATATAGATAATTTTAGTTTGTCAATCATATTTCCATAAAGCTGGAAAACCCAGTAAATTTAGAATACTATGTCCTCTAATAACCTTAAAATGAAATAAAATTATTTCAGGCAAAGAATAGCAGAAAACTCATCACCAGCAAAACTACATCAAGGAGGTAAGACTTCAGTTTATTCTTCACACATGAATAAAATCATTACAGTTATAATTTTGAAGATGTAAGAAGGAACAAATAGCAATAGAAACAGTAAATATTTGGGAACATTTAAGTGAATACTGACTGTCCCAAACAATACGCCTTAAAATTTATAAGAAGTAAATTAAACCAGCAATAGTATATGTCAGCAAGAAGATATGGGGACTAAAATTTTTCAAAGATCCTTATTAACTAGAAAGTGGTAAGACTGCTAACTTATACTAAAATTTGACAGGTTGTATGGGCACTTGTGGGGCAATAGCTAAAGTGATTTTAATTGTAAAATTATGCGTAAAAGCAAAGCAAAGGCGACTTACAATAGTAACAAAAATACTTCAAAGAAAGAAAATCTTGGTCATGAAATATCTATAGGCCAGGCTGAAGTAAAAGATAGTAAATATAATGTAATACATTTAATAGAATAAATAACAGTAGTTATGATAAATGTGCATGAAATCAGTAGTATAATTAAGATAATAAAATTGTCAGACTACTTTAAATATAACTTGTAAACAGAAATAATTATCAGGATATTAAAAGGCTGAAAGAGAAAGGATGAATGCTTATAAATTGATTTTTTTTACTAATTTTAAATTTGATAAATTCCACAAAGCCAAAGAAAGTGGCATAGTCACCATTTTATTCCCAGTAGCATGAAGTTATGAAAACAGACACTCAGAAAGTAACTATAATTCTACTGGGAGAAGAAAGAAGCTCCATGAAACACCAATGGATCTAGTAAAAATGGATGAATTCAAAACTTTTGGTATAAAATATCAATCAGATATTGGAAAGAATAAAGTAAAATGGCATAACCAGCCAAATGAAATTATAAGGAACAAAGAGAATACAGCAGTAGATATGAGGAAGAAGTGGTCTGAAAAGCTGGTAGAAGGCATTGAAATACTTACAGAAGACAGCCAATAAAGAGATACATCTAACATAACTTTTATGAGAAGGCATTTCTCTGACTTAAGTTCCATAAAATTGCGTATTGAACCTCTTATGTATTACATGTCATTCTTTTTCCTTTCTTTGTTTCTATAACAGTATTTTCTTCACACGCTCATAGATCTGCTTAGTTCTGACTCCATATATAACTGGATTGAGCATTGGTGGCACTATGACATAAAGATTGGCCAAAAGTATGTGAATATAGCGGGGAACATTTTGTCCAAAGCGATGTGTCATAAAGGAAAAGAGGGCTGGTGTATAAAAGGCAAGAATTACAAAAACATGAGAACCACAGGTGCTGAGGGATTTGAGTCGGGCTTCATGGGAAGGAAGACGAAAAACAGCACGGAGTATCTGAACATAAGAAAGGGCAATGGCTATGATGTCAAATACTAGATTACAAATTGCACATAATCCATAAATAATATTGATCTTGATACTCACACAAGATAGGCGAGCAAGACCCATGTGTTCACAGTAGGTATGAGGAATGACATGATTCCCACAGAAGGGCAACCGCAAAATGAGAAATACAAATGGAATCACAAAAATAAATGCCCTCACTAACACAACAAGGCCAATTACAGAGACAACTTTGTTGGTGAGGATGGTGCTATATCTGAGTGGGTTGCAGATGGCCACATAGCGGTCATAAGCCATTGCCAAAAGGACTGCAGATTCCATAAGTGTGAAGCTGTGAATGAAAAACATCTGGGTGAGGCAGGCTTCAAAGATGATCTCTCTGAGGTTGAACCAGAAGATCCCAAGCATCTTAGGAATGGTGGCTGTGGAGAGACCCAAATCAATGGTAGCCAGCATGGCCAGGAAGTAGAACATGGGCTGGTGTAGGCTGTGCTCAGCCTGGATCACAAACAGAATGGTGAAGTTCCCTAGGAGTGCAATCACATACACAGCACAAAAGGGAAAGCCAATACAGATGTGGAGTGTTTCCATTCCAGGGATTCCCAGCAACAAGAAGGAGAAGAGGTGAAACGTGGTGTCATTGGGAAGGAACATCCTATTTGGTAATGCATAGGTCTTCAGAAATGTATGCTCACCCAATCTGTAGGTCACTGGATAGTTTTCTGTGGCTTTGAAAGATAATATAAGAACACTTAATTAGCTACCTTCTCTCATTATTGCAATCATCACCAATAGATACCTCCCCCAACCCTTCTGACCAATTTAAGGTTCTGCTAGCCTCTAAATACAATTATGGCAATCAGTTCCACTTGACTGAATGACAAAACAGGGATTAACACACAGGATGGACAATAACAAATCAATAAGCACATGGATTTATCAAAATTTATCAAAATATTAAACCATCAAAATATTAAAAATTACTTTAAAGGATTAAAATCAATCATTGTATTAGTATTTAGTCATTATTATATAAGATAGGAAGAGTACTGAAAACAGCAACATCAATTACCAACTACCATTTATTTGAAAGACTTTTGGCCAGTCTCTGAGCAAAAATCATCTCTAATATTAAAAAAAATGTTCAAGAAGAACATTAATTTTACATGTTTTACATATATGTTATCTAAGGATCAAAGTATTTAAGAGTTTTATCAGAAATTTAAAATACTTTTAATGGGAGGTCTGGGAAATTAAGCTAGGGAGAAAAGTAGTGAATAGAAATGGAAGAAAAATGGAAATAAAGGATATGTCTTACCTATGTTTTATATATATATATATAGGTACCACACACAAGCACATAATCCTCCACACACATTACAAAAATACACAGTCTTTTTTAAAACTCACAACATCCATCTGAATAGAATATGTTAGTATTCCTCATTTATAGCTGAGTCAATTATGACTTTAGGAGTTTAAGATACATGTCAAAATGCCAATCAAAAACCAGAGAGAAAAAAAATTAGTATTGTTAAATTAGATGCATGATAATTCAATCATTTTCAAAGTTCCCTAAACCCTTCTTTATGTCTTCATGTTGTTTGCTTATAACATTTGATAGGGGATTTCCAAAGTATCTATTCATCCATGTGTGTAAGTATTTTCTAGTGTAAAGTCTCTTTTCTGATCATCTGAAGATTCCATGGCAGCAATATTAATTATGATTTCATTTTCAGCAAGAAAGTCAGAGTATTATCTAGACATTGATATAAAGAGGGAAAAAAAGAGTGTAATGAACAGGTTATGGAAGAAGCAGTTGAGTATGAATGGTTTACCATTCCTAGTTCCAAGCAAAGCTAGGAGCAGGAGACACTGTGAGGCAGCTTCCACAGGAACAGAGTCTACTTCCATAAGGTGATGTCACAACGGAATCATGAATATTTTTAAAAGGTATGGCAATGGATAACAGAAGGAGGGAACATAGAATTTACTCACGGAGGCAAGATTTTCTGTAAATCCCATGGGTGGAAATCATCTTAAAATCAACAAAGTTTTTCTTTTTCCAGTATACACATATGCAACAATTTCTCAGTTAATGGAAGTTTACGTACTAGTTGTAGATTTGATTGCTCAAGGGTAAAAATAAGCTGCTCCTCTGGCTTTTCGGAGAGGGAAGGAATGGTATTATATTCTTCGATTGCAAATATATATAATAAGTGAAAACTATGTCTTGCTGGTCATACAGTTATAGCCTATGATCATGCAGAGGGTAAATATCAGGTAAGTAGCCAGGAAATTTTATGAATAAACCAAGTGGGAGACAAATATAGACAAAGTACACAAAACATCAGAGTGGAAACTGGGAACGTGGAGAAAGGCACAAGATCTGATTTCTCAGCTATATAAATCTTTATGCTCCTGAGGGAGGACATTAAGTAGTTTTTCTTAGCTGATTGTTAAAGAGTAAATTGTGTAAAACCCTAAGGGCAACGTATAACCTCTATAGATAAATGAAGGTGAGAAGGGGTACAAAGGGTAGTCTTCTATCTGTTGACAAGGTCTTTAGGAATTACAAAAGTTTAGATGGGGCAAAGTTACAGTGAGATGGATGTGTTACAGAAGGGTTGTTAGCAATGTTGGTTCTTATCTTTCAAATCAATGATACCTACAATCTTGTGTTTAACATCTTGAAATTTTACTCCTGCCCAGAGTTAGTCTATCCATTTGATCTTACCATACGAACACCCTGATATTTTCTCCCTGACTTTCTTGTATTTGAATTGGTAAAAATAACAGTGTTATGTCCAAACTGAAAATGGATAAAAGCATGTAAACAATAATGGAAAGTTCCATCAAGCAAATTTTAAACAGCATCCTTCAAGACATAATTCAGATATATACTTGGGGCACTGGTAAATGACCTCATAAAGACTCCATGCCTTTTTCTTCTGTATTCTTAAATATAGTAGTCCATAGTATATACTAAAAGACCAAACATATGAACAGTCTACAACTGCATGCCATAAAATGGAAGTATATTACAAAATAATGATGAGAGAAAGAAACCAACCATTTAAATAAAAGTTAAAATTAGTAAAATCTAATCTATAGTCTAAGAAGTCAGGGTAGTTGTGACTTTGTGGAGTACTGGCAGTCAGTATGGGTGGGACTTTCAGGATGCTGATAACGTCTGTTTATTCATTTATATACTGGTTACACAGGTATAATCAGTTTGTAGAAATTAATTGGGCCACACTCTTATCATGTGCACTTTGTTTATGGCTGTGAAAATTCAATAAAATATTTAAAAAATACGAATTCCTTAATGGTAGATAGAATATATATCATTTGTTTTTGTATCTCCAGCATCACAGTCTATTGCATAAAATGGCTGTGTGAGCTTGCACAAGAACTTTGACATCTCTGTACTTCAGTTTCTTCATGTAGAAAATAGAAATGATAAGTATAAATAAACCCTTAAAATTAAACCCCTGCCCCTCGGTCTTCCCCGAGCCCACCCGCGGAGCGCGACCAGGGCGGAGCGCCGACCAGGGCGGAGCGCCAACA